GGAACCCAAGTGCAGAGGTGGGAGGGAATTCCAAAAGCGTCCTGAGGGCCACTATGCCCCTTTGGGGAAGGATGGAAAAAAATTTGCCTAGGAGTACACAGTGCCCCCAATTTGGGCAAAACACCTACTTGCCATATCCTAGTGAAGGGGGGTGGAGTGCAGCCACAGGGAGCCCCAGAAGAGCGCAAATATGAAGCCCTTTTCCCCCTTGCTATAATTTCACCCCCAATAGGTCGGAGACCGGGAGATGGGGCAAGTGTGCTCTAAAGTTCCAAATAGAGCGGGGTGAAAAGTCATCATAGAAACCCCAAGGGGACCCAGGGCGACCGCTTCCTTTTTCAGAGATCAGTGTTGAAATTTCCAAAGAGAGGAAATCCTGCAGCATTCTGGGCACGGGCCACCGCCGTGGAGTGGACGAAGTATCGAATGACCTGGGGTTACCTATGTTTTTTTATTTTTTTTCTTTTTTGTGAATGTTTTTAAATGTATTTTGTCTTTAAAAAAAATATACAAAAAATATAGGGGGGGGTGGGAAAAAAAATTTTCTCAAACAGCTTCGGGGGAACCTTGATTTTTTCCCTGAAGCAAGTTTATTTCTTTTCTTGAGGATGGGGCCCCTAAACGTTCAGAGGGGGTACCTCCCTAATATATATATTATAAAATTATATATATAAAAATATATATATATATATAAATAAAAATTTATATATTTATTATATATATGCAATAAGAAACAGTAAACAGGTGTTTTCAGAATATGCAAAACAACCACTCTAAAAAAATAGAAAAAATTCCAAGCGAGTAGTCCGAAAGCATTGGAATTTTCTCTGTTCTTTCAGAGTAGTTTTTTTTGCATATATATAATATATATATAAAATATTATATATATATATATATATATTATAATTTTAATATATATAATAGCAAAAATAGCTCTTTTTTTTTTTATTTCTTCTATTGCCATGGGGAAGTGAAAAAATTTTCTTTCCCCCCAAAGCCATGGTTTTATGAGGCGACTAAAACCCGGGAGAAATGGGCTGTAACCCTTCTCCCGTATACAATTTCTAAAAAAAGAGAAGAAGAAAAACTTTATAAAACTGGGTTCTTAAATGTCGCGGATGTAGGCATGACAAGAAACAGATGATTGCTGATGTTATGAATGAAAAGAAGTTGGAATGTCCTGGCCCTAAGCGAAACAAAAGCTGAAGGGGGTAGGAGAGTTTCAGTGGGGGGAAATAAATGGGATTAAATCTGGAGTATCTGAGAGAGTTAGAGCAAAGGAAGGGGTAGCAGTAATGTTAAATGATCAGTTATGGAAGGAGAAAAGAGAATATGAATGTGTAAATTCAAGAATTATGTGGATTAAAGTAAAGGTTGGATGCGAGAAGTGGGTCATAATAAGCGTGTATGCACCTGGAGAAGAGAGGAATGCAGAGGAGAGAGAGAGATTTTGGGAGATGTTAAGTGAATGATAGGAGCCTTTGAACCAAGTGAGAGAGTAATTGTGGTAGGGGACTTGAATGCTAAAGTAGGAGAAACTTTAGAGAGGGTGTGGTAGTAAGTTTGGGGTGCCAGGTGTAAATGATAATGGGAGCCCTTTGATTGAACTTTGTATAGAAAGGGGTTTAGTTATAGGTAATACATATTTTAAGAAAAGAGGATAAATAAGTATACACGATATGATGTAGGGCGAAATGACAGTAGTTTGTTGGATTATGTATTGGTAGATAAAAGACTGTTGATAACTTCAGGATGTACATGTTTATAGAGGGGCCACAGATATATCAGATCACTTTCTAGTTGTAGCTACACTGAGAGTAAAAGGTAATGGATACAAGGAGAATAAAGCATCAGGGAAGAGAGAGGTGAAGGTTTATAAACTAAAAGAGGAGGCAGTTAGGGTAAGATATAAACAGCTATTGGAGGATAGATGGGCTAATGAGAGCATAGGCAATGGGGTCGAAGAGGTATGGGGTAGGTTTAAAAATGTAGTGTTAGAGTGTTCAGCAGAAGTATTGTGGTTACAGGAAAGTGGGTGCAGGAGGGAAGAGGAGCGATTGGTGGAATGATGATGTAAAGAGAGTAGTAAGGGAAAAAAGTTAGCATATGAGAAGTTTTTTACAAAGTAGAAGTGATGCAAGGAGGGAAGAGTATATGGGAAAAAAGAGAGAAGTTAAGAGAGTGGTGAAGCAATGTAAAAAGAGCAAAAGGAGTGGGTGGAGTTTCAACAAATGAGAAAAAAAAAAAATTTTTGGGAGTGAATTAACAGTTAAGAAAGCCGGGAAAACAAAGGATTTGTCAGTTAAAAAATA